CCGTTACGGTCGTCGTTGCTCCTGGCCTGAGACTGAACCTCGGACAAGTGCTGCAATTCCTTCTCAATGGTCTCCGTCTTGGCCATGGTGTTGAACATGCGGGCCAGGAAGGCACCCTCTTGGCTGGCAACCTGGGCGGTGGGGGCATAGTTGGTGATGGCGCAGTCACCGACGGCCCAGACGTTCTCTGCGCCGTTGACGACCAGATACTCGTTCACGGCGAGACCGCGACGCGAGTTCTTCTGGGCAGGGATCTGGTTCATGAGGTCGCGCACGACGTTGCGGACGGCGTTACCGGTGGCCCAAACCAGAAGACCGTAGGGGATGGTCTCCAGCTCCTTGGAGCCATCAGGCTTGGTAACCTCGGCCTGGATGTACTTGTCGGTGACGTTCTTGACCATAGTCTTAGCACGGATGGAGATGGCCTCCTCCTTGAAGGTCGATTCGGTGTAGTCGATCAGCTGCTTGGAGAACATGGGAAGCACATTGGGGAGAGCCTCGACGAGAGTGACGTGGAAGTTGTCCTTGATCTCGGGGATCCACTTCTTAAGGTCCTCGTTGAAGAAGTCCTGAATCTCACCAGCGAACTCGACACCAGTGGGACCACCACCGACGACAACCATGTGCAAAAGTCGCTTGACCTCGTCCTCGGTCTGGTCCTTGAACATGGCGGTTTCGACACAGTCCATGATGCGCTTGCGGATCTTCTGAGCATCACCGACTTCCTTCAAAAAGCAAGAGTTCTCCTTGACACCTTTGATACCTGCACGGCCGTTAGCTCCTGTCTTCATCCTGGAATATCCGATTGTCTACTTACCGAAAGTGGCGTTCTCAGCACCAACACCAACGACCAGCATGTCGAATGGCACCTCAGTGTGCGAGATTTCACCCTTGATCTCTGAGTCATCGCTAATGTAGACAACGCGCTTCTCGTAGTCGATCTTGGTAGCCTCGGCTTCATAGAAGCGGACACCGCCCTTCTTCTGGCGGAGAATGTTGCGGATGGGTTCCATGATGGAGCGATGCTCAACCAAGCCGGTGGTACACGAGGGGAGCAGAGGAGTAAACAGGAAGTAGTTGCGGGGAGAGATGACGATGACATTGTAGTTTTCGGTGTCGAGCTTCTTCAGCAGGGAAACGGAACCCCAACCGGAACCTATGCGATTAGGTTAGTCGCGACTTCACTCTTATTATCTTTCCTTCCTCTCATGAGTAACGCACCCAGGACGACCAGAGTCTTCTTGGACGGATCAGGCTCGATCTGCTCGATCGGATGGCGCAGCTCGTAGATACTGTACGCCAGCATACCGGTGAGACCAGCACCAGTCAACAAGGTCAGGCGCCAGGTCCATCGCAAGAACCGGAACTTCTTCTTGGGCTTGGGAGCCGGGGTGGGAGCGGGGGCAGCGTCAGCGTAGGTGCGACGGGCAGCGGCGCGCTGGAAGGACTGCTGCTGAACGAAGCCATTGGAGCGCAAGGGCCGGACAATGCGCGAGAACGAGGAAAGGCGCATGGCAGATGGAGAGACCATTCTGGAGGAGCGCATAGCGAGGGTACTGCCAACCATTATCGGAGGTTATGCGTTTGCGCGCGCGGACGCGAGAATAGATGTAGAAGGGATACAAGGGGAAGGAAAA